TTTGTGTGTTTTTGTTGTTTGGGTGGTGGGTAGGTGGGTGTTCTTCCGATTGTGTGCTTTTGTTGTTTGGGTGGTGGGTGGGTGGGTGGGTGGGTGGGCGGGTGGCCCGCCTTGTGCTGAGAAAGGAGACCTGGCCATAGCAGGCTGGTGGCAGCCAAGGAATTCAGAACAGAAGCCATCTAAGCTTGGATGGAAGGCTACTTGCGCGTTTTGCATTGTTTGCAAAAAGGAATGAATGAGAGAGGAGAGAGAGAGAGAGAGAGAAAGAGAGAAGAGAGAGAAGAGAGAGAAGAGAGAGAAGAGAGAGAATGTAAGAGAGAAAGAGAGAGAGAGAGAGAGACAGAGAGGACCAAGATGGTTTTTCAATTTGATTGAAGATAATATGTTGTTTGGGTATGTACAGGTGCTTTTTGGCTAAATGAGGCCCGGATTGGGAGCCAAGGAGAGTGGTGAGAGAGGGGTGAGAGCCAGACTAGACACAGAGACAGAGACAGAAAAGAGACAAAGAAATAGAAAAGAAAGAGAAAGAGAGAGAGAGAGAGAGAGATAGGTGGCTTTGATACTTCTAATTTCAATTGGATTTGATATGGTTGCAGTGCTTGATTGGATTGGCTGTTGCTGCATTGTGTGTGATAACACAGCTTGGCACGCAGTGTTTTTGAATTTTTCTCGGCCTGGCAGTCTTGATTGATTGGAGAGAAGATTGGATGGAGAGAAGATGGGGAGGGCGGCTCAAGCTCCAGGGGGGGGGTCGGTTCCATTTCCAGCCCCTTAACAGAACCGGTTTTCAGAACCGCTCCGGGCCCGGTTTTTACAGGGGTTTGTGGTGGAAATCTTGTTTTGGGAAGTACAAAAGAGCCCTAAGTCTTGTTTTGTACTTTGGGTTGGGGGGCGAGCTGACTGAGAGGTTGGCGGCTCAATGGCTCAAAGCCGTGCTGTGATGTGAATGTGACAGAGAAGTGTCGCGCAGTTTGGTTTTTCGTGCTGTGATGTGAATGTGACAGACAGTTTGGTTTTGCTAGGGTGTGACAGACAGTTTGGTTTTGCTAGGGTGAAGTGCTCATCGTCACAGTCTGTTTTGGGCAGGGCCGAACTGAAAGCTATCAAAACGAAAACCAAACCAGTCAATGTGAGCAATGGCTTCGACTTCAAAGCGCAAACCCAGAAAAGTGGTCCCAAAACGAGGTCCAGTGAGGAGCAAAGGCATTAAAGGTAAAGTTTGTATTGTCTGCGGATACAAAAGCTGTCGCCGCAAGGACATTGATTGCAAAAACAGACCGCACCAGTTAGAACGAAAAAAGGTAAACGAAAGTATGTGCAGGCCTCTACGGCCACAGGCCGCACTTGTCAAGTTCTGCAGTTCGGAGCATATGAAAAAGTGCCAGAAAAAGGATACACAGAGACGAGGTGGCCGGGAAGCTCTCTCTTCTGAGCAAATAGCAAGTTTTTTCAAAACCATCATTTACAAAGCCCATGCACCATGGGCCGGTGTGTTGCTCCTAGTCCAGCTGCTTTTGGGGGACAGGGCTGATTGCGCTCGACAGGCCAGGATCGATTGGTTCTGTCATCTACACCCGGACGCTAAAGGGTTGCCAGAAGCCATTATTCCAACAGGCATCAATGGTAAAACGCAGCCCCGCCACGTGCCTCTACCAACAAATTTTGCACGCTTGCTTTGGGCATGGATTGCTCAAC